CCCCCCCCCCCCCGCCGCCCCGCCTCCCCCCGGCCCCCTCCTCCGGACCCGCCTCCCGCCTCCCACTCTCCAATCCGGGCCTCCGCTTCACCAGCAGCACCGCCCTGGCCCGAAACGCCGCAACTGATTGGTCGCTGCGTTGTTATTGGGCGGGAGCCCAACACGTCCTCGGGATTGGTCACTTCGTGCCATGTTGCAGGACGACCATGGCGCCGAGGCAGCTGCTCCGTCGCGATTGCCTGGTCCTCACGTCTATCTTTCAGCCACCGCAGCTGATTGGTTCTTCTCCGCCGGGGGCCGGGCCTCGGCCGGAGGCGGAAGTGGTGGCGGCGCGTTCCGGTGGTGAGGTGGCGCGTTGGGAGCGGTTCGGCGGGGGTTCCTCCGCAGGTTAGAGTCGCCCCTCGGTATTGACCCCCCCCCCACCGTGCTGCAGGTCAGTGCCTTCCCTGTCTTCGGTACTGTCCCCCCGCCCTGTGCGGACCGCGGACTCTGCCGCTCGGTGGCGGTCGCCGGCCGGGCTCCTTTCTTGGCCATGCGGGGCCAGATCGGGTTCGCAGCTCCCTGGGGCCCGGGCCGTAAGGGGCAGTGGGCCGGGGTGGGCCCACTTCTCGCTCCAGGCTCTGCGGCCCGACCCAGGTGCCCCCGGGTACCGGGAGCGCAGCCGGGCCGGGGGAATTCCGCGCTCTGCGGAGCCCGCCGGAGCCGTGCGGTCCGGTAAACCTGCGGGGCTGCCGGGGCCCGGCGGCGCTGCCCGCCATCCCCGTGGCAGCAGGAGCCGCCGCTCCCGGAACCCAGCACGGCGCTCCCGCGCTCCCCGTCCCTCCTGCTTTCTCTTGGAACCCCTCTGCACAGCGTTAGAAGTTTGGCCCAGGGCTTGTGTACAGCAGCAGTGCTTTTAATGCGTGTTTGATTTTTAACGAAGGGAAATGCAAGGAATTAATTTATGTATAATAAACTTATAGTAGAATAAATTAGGGGAAAAACATTGTCAAGTCTTTCTTTGCTATGGCTGATACCTAGGGATAGAAATGCTCTGCTTGCTGTGGACTGTGCAGACTAGCAATGGGCTTAGACTGGGTCAGGGATGTGTATTTCAGAGGAAAGTGGCCTCCTCTTTCAGATCGCTGCTGGCAATTCCAGTGTTCAAAGTAAAGTCTGCCCAGCAAAAGTTGATTAGTCACAGGAATGCTGAGCAAAGGTACAGGATGTAGAGGATCCTGGCTTACATCCTAAGCACAGCAAGTGTCCTTGCATTCTGCTCTTCGTTACAGAGGTGGGAATCCATATGCCAGTGTGAGCCTGGGAGAGCACCAGTCTTGTCTCTGAGAGCACTGTTTGCTTTATTGGGGTGAGGCAGTGGAACACAGCTGTCCTTTTGTGTTTGTGGGGAAACTGGTTGGCATTGTATAACACCAGGATATTCCTGTCTCAAGTCCTTAAGGCTAATGCACAGGACAGCCACCACCCTCTGTGCAGGCTGTTGGCTTTGGGGCAGAATTTAAAGTCATGTTATGCTTGTTCCTGGATTTGTTCTCAGGGAGGGTTC